TGTACACACACACACGTGTTGTACACACACACACACGTGTTGCACACACACATGCGCGTGTTGTACACAGACACACGTGTCGTACACACACACACACATGTTGAACACACACACACACACGTGTTGCACACACACGCGCGTGTTGTACACACACACACGCGCGTGTTGTACACACACACACGCGCGTGTTGTACACACACACACGCGCGTGTTGTACACACACACACGCGCGTGTTGTACACACACACACGCGCGTGTTGCACACACACACGCGCGTGTTGTACACACACACACGCGCGTGTTGTACACACACACACGCGCGTGTTGTACACACACACACGCGCGTGTTGTACACACACACACGCGCGTGTTGTACACACACACACGCGCGTGTTGTACACACACACACGCGCGTGTTGTACACACACACACGCGCGTGTTGTACACACACACACGCGCGTGTTGTACACACACACACGCGCGTGTTGTACACACACACACGCGCGTGTTGTACACACACACACGCGCGTGTTGCACACACACACACGCGCGTGTTGTACACACACACACGCGCGTGTTGCACACACACACACGCGCGTGTTGTACACACACACACACGCGCGTGTTGTACACACACACACACGCGTGTTGTACACACACACGTCTTGTACACACACACACAGACGTGTTGTACACACACACACAGGTGTTGCACACACACACGCGTGTTGTACAAACACACGCGCGCACATTCTTTGCACGCACGCGGCCTGCCCGCAATTGCGGAACCACCAATCGCTGATGACGTGTGGGGGGTTTGTTGTAAGTTGTCGTAGGAAATGGGGGGGGGGGGTTGGCAGGGGGGGTCGAGAGAAGGGGGTACAAAGGGGACCTTGTGAGGAGCCGTCACCACCCAGGGTCACGTCACCCAAACGCCTAGACCGAGGACAAAGTGCCCCCTTGTTTAGCTTCGGGGGTTACCCCCCTCCCCCCACTGCTCTGCCCCCCCCCCAAGGGGGTCTTCAAGGCCGCCCATTATGTTGCGCGGGCTCTGAGTCCCCTTCTCGCTTCTCAATCAACTGGGGGTCTCTCGGGGGAGAGGAGAGTTTGGTGGGGGGGGGCGGTCTCAAAGGGTCTCTAGGGGGTCTCGACGCGTGAAAGATGCGTCTGGCCGGGGTCTCCCGTGCCACCACCACCACGCTCGCACGCCACTGGGCACCGGGGCGGGCGAGACGCGACGGGAGGCCCCTCCGCAAGGGGTCTCGCGTCGGACACAATGCGGGCGATTCTTCCCATCAAGGCCACGGCTGTGCGGCTGCGATGCAGGTAACGGGGGCGGGCGGAGATCGCGAGAATGCAACAATCGCCCCGCCCCCCTTCACCGCCCCGCCCACCTCCACCGCTCCCCCATCCAAAGCCCCGCCTCTACCGCCCCCCCAAACGCAGCCCCCCCCCCAAACGCAGCCCCCCCCCTCCCCCACCCCCCCCCCCCATGCAGCCCCCAGTGGCCAGGCAGCGTTGTCCAGGGTAGGTTGCCGGTGGTGTCGACAAGCACGTGGGGGGCTCCAGCGACACGTGGGGGGGCTCCAGTGACACGTGGGGGGGGGGGCTCCAGCGTCACGTGGGGGGCTCCAGCGACACGTGGGGGGGCTCCAGCGACACGTGGGGGGCTCCAGCGACACGTGGGGGGGCTCCAGCGACACGTGGGGGGCTCCAGCGTCACGTGGGGGGCTCCAGCGTCACGTGAGGGGGCTCCAATGCAAACGACGTTTCTCAGCTGCGCTCTTTTGTATGATCCACTGCAGGTCTCCTCCCGTGTCTCTGTGCCCTTGAACAATGCGCATCGAGGCCGCCTCTCTATCCGAGCCAATTCCGCCGCTCCGTCTCCCCCGCTAGACGTCCTCTCGCGTCGGGGGGGGGGGGCTGCCTGTCCTGCCCCCCCCCCTTAGACTGATGTTCTCTGATATACAGTATACGTTCTTATACCTGTAATCCACGGGCGGGGGGATATCTATATATAATGAGTTATTTAAAACATAATTCCCGCTTGTTTCCCGTTTCTTTGTTTCATCAAGCCTCGTAAAGACAAACAAGCGAGCAGGGTGTTCGCGAAATGACGACGATGGCGATGACCGTGTCGCGTGACTCTGTGTGCTGGGCACGGGTTCGCGTTTTGCGTTTCGGCGAAACGAATTCTGCAGCGATGGTCATCACGGGGGCAATCGATGCGAATCGATCCCACCGACGCTTCCCAATCCGCACGCGCGGCGACATCCGATTATCGACTACGTGGGTAGATCCGCGCACTGGACGAAGGCGTCCTCCTGCCCCGTCGAAGCGGTCGTCGTTTCTCTCTCGCGGCTCTGCGGTGGAGCAATCCGCGTGGAACCCGAGCCCGTATATCCCCCCCCCCCCCGCGCTCCCCGTTCCTTGGCTGCCACTCCGCGATTATTCTCGACCATCGTACCCGCTGTGCCGGCTCACCGGTTACAATTACATCATTGACGTGTGTTACAAATCCACGTGGCCGACTCACTCATCACCGTTGCGGGTCACAGCAAAGGGGCCGTCCATAAATGACGCCACGCGATTTTTGACGATTTTTGACCCCCCCAACCCCCCCCCCCATCGTCACACGGCGTCACAAAAAATTAGACCCCCCTTAAATATGACCTCACAAAGCTCTGCCCCCCCCCCCAAAAAAAACTATATTTCCATTTTGAAAATAAAATCGCTTTAAACTATTATCATTGTAGTGCGTATTTAACGTGGCGCTGCACTCTGATGTTGTAGGAGAAAACATTAAAAAGTATTGTCTATATTTATTTAAAGTTGCGCATTTTGATGTGACGTCACATTTCTCAAACACCCCCCCCCCCCCCTCGTCACAAATGTCTGACCCCCCCCTCCCTAGGTGCGTGACGTCATTTATGGACGGCCCCAAAGACATAAAGATCCCCACCCGTGTAGCCTTCACAGACTGTTGGGGCAAGTGCTGTTAGCGAGCACCAATGAAGGGCAGAACTGTGGCACGCGAGGGGGTGGCTGGCCAGCACCACGCCCGGTCACCTTTGTCTCCCCAGTGGCGATGTTTACACACCGCGCCGGTTCAGATAATCGTCACTGGTGTTGGCCGTGAGCGGGAATCGAACTTGGGTCGACGGGTTCGTAGCGCAGCGCGTTAACCGCTACACCATAACTACAAAGACAAAGATCCCCCGTGTAGGCCTAACACATCGTTGGGGCAAGCGCTGTTCATCGAGCACATATGGAGGCCGGCACGGCACACGAGGAGGTGGGTGGGACAGCACCATTCTCACCAACACACCCACTCACCCAATAACTCACCCACCCACCCACTCACCCAATAACTCACCCACTCACCCAATAACTCACCCAATGACTCACCCAATAACTCACCCAATAACTCACCCACCCACTCACCCAATAACTCACCCACCCACTCACCCAATAACTCACCCACCCACCCACTCACCTAATAACTCACCCACCCACCCACTCACCCACTCACACAATAACTCACCAACCCACTCACGGATTCACCTAATAACTCACCCACCCAATAACTCACCCACCCAATAACTCACCCACCCACTCACCCAATAACTCACCCACCCACTCACCCGCTCACCCACTCACCCAATAACTCACCCACCCACTCACCTAATAACTCACCCACCCACTCACCCACTCACCCAATAACTCACCCACCCAGGCACCCAATAACTCTCCCACCCACTCACCCAATAACTCCCCCACCCACTCACAATATAACTCACCCACTCACCCAATAACTCACCCACCCACTCACCACACCGCACGTCACCCCTCCTCCTCCCATCATCATCGTCTCATCGACCAAAGTTCTTCGAACCACGCAACTCAATTCCCAACTTTGATCAGCGCCGTCTGTTGATGGTCACTTGGCGCATTGGCGCCTTGTGCTGAGCAAGCCGTGCCCTATATATAAGGGGTGCTCCAAAATAAATGTTAACACTTACATGGGACTATAGTTTTTAATGGTAAAAGAACGGATGGTACTACACTGTAACATGATAACAAATGTCATGTTAATAGCTTCAAAAAATTAAAGAGTCTCCCACTCGTTCGCCATCGTTGTCAACGCATTGCCTGGAATCTCCAAGTGGTGTCCAGAGCCCGGAGGCAGCAGCACATGTAACGTGGTGTTGTTGCAAATTCTCAGAAGTGTTAACATTGTTTTGGGAAGCACCCTTTAACACAGACGGCATTCACACAGGCGAACGTAGGGCGGTCAAAACTTTAGGGGGGGGGGGGAAATAACCCCCCTCGATAAGCGATACAAAACGAACGGGCAGAGGGAGGCTATCAAAACCTCGCTCTGTTACTCCAAATCGCGGTGCTGACTCCGAACATCTTGCCCGAAGCGCCACACCCCGAGAGAAGGAGGGGGGGGGTGAAACGCCATCATCGTCATCAGCCATGATCAATACACTGCTGGACGAATGCCTCCCCAAGCCGCATGCCGCCTCTCACTACCCACACACACACAGAGATAGTTCATCGCTCCATCTCCCACCGGTTGAGCTTTTCTCTCGCAGCGGACGAGAGAAAAAGAAAACCCCGCTACGGGCGATCAGCTGTTCCCAGCTGTCAAAACCCACGCCGACCGTGACCAAAAACCCCTTTGTCGACTTGCCACAGCGCGGTGGTTCGCCCCTGCGATCGTCGCGTGATCCGTCAACCCTACCCACAGCGATGTGTGGATAGCGCCCCCCCCCCATCCCTCTCCTTCTGCAGCCCCCCAAAACATCGTCGTCGTCTCTTCTCTCCGTGAGACACAAACGCCCCCCACTCGCTCGCCCCCCCCCCCCCGCGCCCCCCCCCCCGCGCCCCCCCCGCGCGCGCGGCCCCTCGCGCTCAGCCCACCCCCCCCGCGCCCCCCCCTCCGCCCCCCCTAACTCTCCTCGGCATCCCCCCCCCCCAACACCGACAAATACCTTTGACTCCGGCCATGGTGGTGCTGCAGGGCTCGAGTCGAGAGCGAGGAGCGCTCGCTGGGGGCGTCGTGACGCACGTCCGGGAGGAGACGGAGCGGTGAGAGTGTTGGGGGGGGGAGTAAGAGCGGTGCGCTGTTGCCACCTTCCACCACCACCATCACCACCCCTGCCGCTGCCGCCGCAACAAAACGCGGACGAGTTTTGTGTTTGTTAAATCGGCCCGCGTCCTCTCAAAGTCGTGCAGTTCGCTGCGCGACAACCACAACGAAGTTTAACACGCAAATGCCGCCGCATTTTTGCGTTAGAAAAAAAACAACGATCCTATTCCTCTGTATACCATCTTACGGGACTTGTCCCGGGAAAAGCCGGGACCGGTGGCAACCCCGGGGTAGCCGAGTCGGACAGGAAACAATGGGTTGTCCTTGTTCCTTCCAACCCCCCCCCCTCCAGCCTCGCCTTCCTACCCACATTTTACCCCACCGCATATCGCCTCCACGTATACTGTGGAGGTGATACACACAAAAATTGATACGTATAAAAACTCTTGCCCCCATCATATAAAAATGCCGCGCTGGGAGATCGCACGTGTCACGTAGAATTTCTGCGGGAGAGGGAAAAAAATGCATCCGGAGGACTTACATTACAGGTACTTGTAAATCTGGAACGGATTCGTGGATGGAGGTGACATCAATTTGTGTTGTTGACAGCGATGAGACGATGTTCTGTCGAGGGCTGCCTCGTTTTGGTTTGTTGTTGTTGTCAAGTTGTGGTGAATTACGTTTAGAGCCGGGATATCCAATTGTTTAAGGAATCGGTTGACTATTATAAATCTTGACTTAAAGCTTTCGTGACTGCAAGAATTCGTATTCTTTGAGTCTTTCGGTAAAGTCACGGAGAAAGGTTCAAAGAAAATAACAAAAAAAAACTACGACGTTTCGATCGCAACACAAGCAGTCACCATCAGGAAAAGTTTTTTAAAATTATCTTTGAACCTATTTTTGTTATTTTCTTGGAACCTAACTACGTGACTTTACCGAAATACCCAAACAATATGACTATTTTAAGTTTGTTTTTCTCGGCGAACGCGAAAATTTGAGACGGGTCGCAGAGCAGCCAGGTCCAGTTCCCAGCCAAAGCCACGTGCAGCCTCGCCTCTCCGCGACTTCCAACACCTCGAGGTCGGATCGTAAGTACGGAGGAGAGAGGTAAGGTCAAGGGGGAATATCCGTTAAGGAGAGTGAGTAGGGAGAGACCAGGCAAATTGGGTCCTAGACCGTAGGGAGATAGGTTAGACCTATCCTGCTGACCCACACTGACTTAACTTCAAGTAACCAGAGACTAAATCTCCAGTAGACATTAAACATTGTCGTGTTGTCTCTGTGAGTACGGAGGGAGGGGGGGGGTGCCTGGTGTTGTGAGCCTGTTCGTTGTGGTTTCCTGTGGTTTCGCACGAGTGTATATTTTGCCCGCGCGTGCGCGCTCGCCGTGCACGTTAACTTGTGAGCCCGCACGTTGTGGGTGTTCCGTGGGGAAACTCGCCCTCGTCAGAGGAATGTGGAATTCCCACCAGGGGCGGAGCCACAGGGGGGGCTGGGGGGGGCTTAGCCCCCCCTGAAATTTTGAGAAAGTCGGTAATCGGGATAACCGGATATCAGGCTACTGCAAAATGCTGCAGGCTGCTACCTCGTGCTGCCCTGCAGGCTGCCACCTTGTGCTGCCCTGCAGGCTGTCACCTCGTGCTGCCCTGCAGGCTGTCACCTCGTGCTGCCCTGCAGGCTGTCACCTCGTGCTGCCCTGCAGGCTGTCACCTCGTGCTGCCCTGCAGGCTGTCACCTTGTGCTGCCCTGCAGGCTGTCACCTCGTGCTGCCCTGCAGGCTGTCACCTCGCGCTGCCCTGCAGGCTGTCACCTCGCGCTGCCCTGCAGGCTGCCACCTTGTGCTGCCCTGCAGGCTGTCACCTCGTGCTGCCCTGCAGGCTGCCACCTTGTGCTGCCCTGCAGGCTGTCACCTCGTGCTGCCCTGCAGGCTGCCACCTTGTGCTGCCCTGCAGGCTGTCACCTTGTGCTGCCCTGCAGGCTGTCACCTTGTGCTGCCCTGCAGGCTGCCACCTTGTGCTGCCACCTTGTGCTGCCCTGCAGGCTGTCTCCTCGTGCTGCCCTGCAGGCTGTCACCTCGTGCTGCCCTGCAGGCTGTCACCTCGCGCTGCCCTGCAGGCTGTCACCTCGTGCTGCCCTGCAGGCTGCCACCTCGTGCTGCCCTGCAGGCTGTCACCTCGTGCTGCCCTGCAGGCTGTCACCTCGTGCTGCCCTGCAGGCTGTCACCTCGCGCTGCCCTGCAGGCTGTCACCTCGTGCTGCCCTGCAGGCTGCCACCTTGTGCTGCCCTGCAGGCTGTCACCTCGTGCTGCCCTGCAGGCTGCCACCTTGTGCTGCCCTGCAGGCTGTCACCTTGTGCTGCCCTGCAGGCTGCCACCTTGTGCTGCCACCTTGTGCTGCCCTGCAGGCTGTCACCGTGTGCTGCCCTGCAGGCTGTCACCTTGTGCTGCCCTGCAGGCTGCCACCTTGTGCTGCCACCTTGTGCTGCCCTGCAGGCTGTCACCGTGTGCTGCCCTGCAGGCTGCCACCTCGTGCTGCCCTGCAGGCTGCCACCTCGTGCTGCCCTGCAGGCTGCCACCTTGTGCTGCCCTGCAGGCTGCCACCTTGTGCTGCCCTGCAGGCTGCTTGAGCGGCAGCCTTTCGAACTTATCGAACTTATTAGCCACATCAGCGGCTCTGACCTATTAATAAACTCCGCGTTCAAATCCAATCAAATTTGTTTTATACATTTGTGGCGCGCATTGGAAAACATAAACACTGGATATCTCAGAATATTGAAGTCAGCCCCCCCAAAGTCAAAATCCTGGCTCCGCCCCTGATTCCCACCACTGGCTCAGGGCTGCAAACAGGAGATGAGCAACGGGGGGGAAAAAGCATCACTTTCACTTTTCATTCCGAGGTCATCGATTTCAACTAAGACAACACGAGAGTCATCGTGAATTACGCTGCTGCACGCTAGAGGACAATTATATGCAAAGCTGTCAACCCATACAGTTTACCCCACATTCTTGTAGAGGGGAAATTGAGTTTTCAGGTCCATACGGCGTACAGCCGTTTCAATACGGGCAAAATGTTTTTTGTCTATTTGTGTTTCTCCCTTGTGGTGATGGGACTCTGTGGGATGAATGTTGAGATTTATAAGGGGCACGGGGTGACCAATAAGGTCTGAATTGGTCTGTAATAAGGTAGGGCACTGATAAGGGGTTGACAGGTGTATATATATGGCAGGCGACGTTTCGGGCAGTGTCCCTTTTCACATCAGATATTTTAATATCTGTCCGCTATGAAGGAGGGATATTGCTAAGGCAGTACAAGTTGTATGACGTTTGATTTTGTTCGTGCAATAACCACAACAGATTGAGTTTAAAACAATTTGTGAACACTTATTGCCGAAGTGTCTTGTGCGGCCCGTTTTGTCGATGGACCTCTGGATGCGGGCCTCCACAATGCCTCGGTAGGCTGGAGGTTGTTTGGCCATACTTCACCACACTGCTCAGGGCGGGTTGGTAAATGCAAGAAGCATAGCCGCGAAAGCTTGGCACAGGGCAACCATGGATGTTGCTGCGTTGCCATCAACATCCAGAAAATCGCTGAACACATTCATCAGCCGAAATATTATTTCCGAGTTTCTCATAGCATACAAATTATCTGGTAATACTCCACATTTGCCAATTACTCTGTGGCATGAAAACTGCATGCAATTGTTGACATGACAGGTAAATGCCCTTCCTCATGGCACGTACGGTAAGCCATCAAGTCACGCGTTGTGTATCGCACTATTGTGCGTTTTCGCTATAACGGGGATCTGGCATTAGGGAACACTTTTCGTACAACGTGGAACGCACGTGGCGTTATAACGGCGCAACGTGCACCGCTATAACGCGGCTTTTGAGCCGTCGACACAGAACTATTTTCTTGAGATGCGAGGCTGAGTGGTAGTGATACGGTACGCGGAATGATACAGTAAAGCGGCGACGTACACCCCCCCCCCCCACAGTTTTGCGTCCCACCACCTCACTGCGTGTGCGTGGTAGTACATCGTAATCTCGCCAAACTTAATTGTTACGTTACTCACGGAGAAATCGTTACATTATTCATGGGGAAATCGTTTTTCGCTTAACGCGTGTTTTTTTAGGCTTAGCGCGGCACTTTTCAGGAACGCATCTACCACCGCGTTAAACGAGGACTCGCTTCTGCAGAGGCATGCCGGAGGGTGTCACGTGAGAAGGGGGGAGGGGTGTGTGTGTGTGCATGCTCAATGCTTGTTAACAACGTCACGCACATGCCAACACGAGCGGCGGACACCTCATTGGTCGAGAGGGTAGCGTGCCTGCGAGTTCGTGAATCCTCTTCATCCCCAATGGAACACGAGGCCGCAATGAGTTCCCGCCCACTTCGACCTGTATTTGGCAACTTGTTGAGCCTTGGCCCAAGAGAGGAAGATCTCTGCTCCCAGCTCCTCCTGCACGGTCTTGCGCCACGTGGTATGAGCTCTCCCACCACGTGGCATCGGCTCTCCCGCCACGTGGTATGGGCTCTCCCGTCACGTGGTATCGGCTCTCCCGCCACGTGGCATCGGCTCTGCCGCCACGAGGTATGAGCTCTCCCATCACGTGGTATCGGCTCTCCCGCCACGTGGTATGGGCTCTCCCGTCACGTGGTATCGGCTCTCCCGCCACGTGGCATCGGCTCTGCCGCCACGTGGTATGAGCTCTCCCGTCACGTGGTATCGGCTCTCCCGCCACGTGGCATCGGCTCTCCCAGGTCTCCTTTTGCCCGGCGGTGTCCATTTCAGTGCAATGTTTTTGTAAGTCGTAGTTAGGGGGCCGTCCATAAATGACGTCACGCGATTTTGGACGATTTTTGATCCCCCCTCGTCACAAAAAGTCAGACCCCCCCTCAAATATGACGTCACAAATCTCTGCCCCCCCCCCCAAATAAAACATGCTTCAAATCGCTTTAAACTATTGTCATTGTAGTGCGTATTTAATGTGGCGCTGCACCCTGATGTTGTAGGAGAAAACATTTATTAAAAAGTATATTTAATTAAGTAGAACGTGTTGTCTATTTTTATTTAAAGATGCGCATTTTGATTTGACGTCACATTTCTCAATCCCCCCCCTCGTCACACATTGTCACAAATGTCTGACCCCCCCACCCCCCAGGTGCGTGACGTCATTTATGGACGGCCCCTTAGTGGTGGTATACTGTCGGTAGTACTAATGGTGGTGTATGGTGATGGTGGTAATGGTAGTAGTGGTGAGGTAGTGGTAAGAGCGCTGCCCTACGAACCCGGCCACCCAAGTTCGATTCACGCTCACGGCCAACACCAATGACGATTATCTAAACCGGTTCTGGGCCTCCCCAAGGTCGACTCAGCCTCAAATTAGTAGCTGGTGCGGTGTGGGAGACAAAGGCGGTCGGGCGTGGTGCTGGCCACCCACCCCCCTCGTGTGACGTGCCGGCCTTCTTAGGTGCTCGCTTACAGCACTTGCCCCGACAGTCTGTTCAGGCTATACGGGGGATCTTTGTCTTTGTAGTTATGGTGTAGCGGTTAGCGTGCTGCGCTACGAACCCGGTCACCCAAGTTCGATTCCCGAATCAATTTTTGGTACACCGGGAATGCCGCCTGGTAGCCCCGGCGTGAATTTTGGCAACGTGCTGTAACAAACCGCGCCAGCGCGACAGCGAACCAGAACCACCCCCTGTCCCATTGCCACGCAGTGTAAGCACGCTGAACTTCTTTCGCCAATCGGAGGTGCGGGGTAAGGACATCGTGCGGCAAGATTTAAGTCCGCCCTCCCGTTAAAAATGTTTCACGGTTGTGCTGTACAAATCTTGGACGTGTTTTTAAGTTGTGCACCACGTGTTTACTCGCCACGATGTTCAACGTTCAGAAGTTAAATTTAGCTCCTGAAAGAAGGTCCCCCCCGCTCGTGGATTGAAATGCCAAGACACGTGGTACAATCCACAAACACCGTGTTAAAAAAAAAAACTGTCATGTTACAGGTAGATTATATGGAATATTTACCATTTGTATAGATTGTATACAAGCACTGTATACAAATCCCTACAGCCACGCAACGGCTATGGTCAGAGGAAGCGATGTTCTGCCAAGCGCTAACGAAGTGGAGGTGTCATTCACCACGGTCAAGCCAATTATCATTTAACAATTTGGGGTTTGCCGATTTTCTTAGGGAAGAATCGTAGCAATGGTTGCGTTACTCATCTGGCTAAGGTGGCATCGAAGAAGCGTGGCTTATTTTCTTTTTGAATGCCAAAGCCTTTCGTGAACCTCGGATCATTACCGCTGCTGTACAAACGAACCTTATGGCGGGACCCCGGGATCCCGAATAAACGGACGTGAAAATCGTAATTAATGTATTTATTCTTGGCGACTCCATCCCACGGCGCAGATAAACGCCGCGACCCACCTGGCGCGCATCATTGGTGTCGTGTCGTCCAAGCGCAATGAGGACGAATGCGCAGAACAAAACTTTTTAACTTTGATTATTGCATCGTGTAGAGCTCGTCGAGATGAATAGATTGCCGTATCGTTCGCCTTCCAAGACATGAGATGACGTCGCAACGCAGTTTATGCGAGAGCCGGGGGCTTATGGGACCCCGCCATCAGTTTCAAATGTTGCCCAAGTTTGAATCCTGTTCTCAAATCTGGGGTGTTGGCACCCAGTTCGTACCTATCTCTGCACTTGACAGAATTCGATTTGAAGGAGTCGTGGGGAATGGGTGACCCATTCAGGGATTCGCTTCAGGTCGCTCGCACACCGACGGCAGCTCGTCGCTTTCCTGTCACGTTTTTGTACTTCGCAATACATGCATTAAATATAAATGCTTGCATGCACTTGTTTAACAAAAATCTTAATACTTTATACATGTTTCAAATTTTATTGTAATATTGCATCAATTCACGTGAATTTTTCGTTCAAAATACGTACGATGCATTGCCAAAAAAAAGTCTTAGACGGTGTCAGCAGAGCGGAATGAGAAATCTTAAAAAATTTCTGCCAAGACGATACACGACGACATCACGTTAATGAAAGCATTTTATACACGCGTTTATTTCAAAATACCACAGAGGTTGGCTAAATACAAAAATATGCTTTTGCGTCCGAAGTAAATGCAATACTCCTCTCCACGGAGGCATGTTTTTACAACTAAGGCTGCTGTTGGGTTTCAGCTCCTATACATCATAAAAAAATCATTAAGCCATATTTTCGTACTAACAAAAGTGACGTGGCTTCCACCACCACACAACACTGCGAGGAGGAAGAGCAACGAAAGTGATGCAATTTCATGCAACACACTTAAGTGTCAATCCAAAGCAACAATTGTTGGACCGTCCAAACATTTAAGATTGAGCCCTATTTTGATTCGTCCAAAAAAAATCGGAAACATCCTGAGCTCCGAGTAAGCAGCGGAGCTTCAAAACTCACTTCGCCTTTAAACAACGTAGAATACTAACCATATGGGTATAATGGAATCTAGAGATACGTACGTTTATCCAATATATACAAAGAACTAATTCAAAACAGCCAACCTATTTTATGGACAGTCTTTCTCCATAGGCCACCCGCACAGCCCTGCAAGTCTCTCCTCACCCACGTCTGCACAATCAACAATCCCCACTTTTGAAAGTGTTACATAACATAATTACGCTCATTTTAACTCAGTCCCATCATAGAAATACGTCGACTTGCACATCTCAGCACTGCAGAGCCAGGGCTGCATGGGTCAGGGAGCACTCGCTGCTTTTACACTGCCCAGAGCCATGCCACGATCACACGCAATTTGTGACGTCACGACGCATGTGGATGACGCTGCGTTAAGAGTTGTACAGACCGACGTCAGACGCGTTACACGCGTCATGAGCCCTTCCAAGTGTGGCTTGGAGCCAAGCCACTCGGATGTGTCGAGGCCAGCATAGCACACTTTGGGTTTTGCCCAATCTTGGTAAATCGCCAATGGAAAAATTACCCATGTCGTGCTTGCATGGCTCAAACGTGCAGCTGCAAAAGTGGATTATCACTTGTGAAACTAGCGTTTGCTGAATAAGTGGTGCTGCGTTTGTTGGGATACTTATTTTACATATGATGGTTTACTCGATGCAGATTTTTAAACAAAAATCCCCCATATGAACTTCATGGCGGTTACCCCGGGGTACCAAATAATACTAAATGGCCGAGGCAATTACATTTTATTTCTGGGACACTTTTGTTTCCAGGGGTGTACTTCACTCCGCGACTGGGGTACCAATCAATCCGAAATCAGTGCCACACTCCGCGATGTCGAAACGCGAGGACGATTGCGCCGAAACCCTGAACGCTCGTACGCACCGCAGTGCATCGTGTACAGCTCGTCGAGATGAGTCGATTGCCACATCACTGACCATCAGACTAAAATTACTGCATCACGGACATTATGCGAGAGCCGGGGTACCACCATAAGGTTCACATAGCCTTTACAGACTGTTGGGGCAAGTGTCTGTTAGCGAGCATCTATGAAGGCTGGGATGGCACACGTGGGGGTGGTTCACCAACACCACGCCCAGTCGCCTTCGTCTCCCCAGTTCCAACGTTTACACACCGCACCAGGCACTCATTTGAGGCCGAGTCAACAAAGGAGAGGCCTAAGACCGGTTCAGGTAATCGTCACCTGGTGTTGGCCGTGAGTGGGAATCTTACTCGGGTCGCCGGATTCGTAGCGCAGAGCGCTAACCGCTACACCACCACTCCCCACTCATTCTATGCAGCAACAAATGGAAAAAATTCCATTTGCATTAAAAGAGAGGACCACCACACATGCAATGTTCTAAAAGCCAAATTGACAGGCAAATTTGTGATGCATGCACAAGCACACACACACACGGCTAGCTTTATTTACAGCCACGCTTGGTCATTAAAATTTCAAAAAGATTTCATAACATTTCCAAATGCTTATTAAACACTGTGTGCATCCAAATTGAAAAATGTGGAAATATGCATTAAAAAATGTTTACATTCTCTGTGGCACACTTTTACACCTTGAGCTTCACATCATGTTGAGTTAAAACTATGCGCATTTTTTACTAGGTTTATTAAAATGAATCTTTATTGATAAGCACAAATAAACATCCTTTAAAAAGCAAAACACCTAACAATAAACAGAACATGGCACGGCGTTGTGAAAGTTGGCATGTTTCAAACAGTTTCATCGTTTATGCTTTTGACTTATGAAATCGATTCTGATCGTAATTAATGAAAAATTAGTTTGATTAGTCAGTCTATTTGTGGGGAGACGCGCAGTAATGGTGCTGTTGCTCCTTGCCGGGAGGTTGTGATGACACAGCCACGCTCTTCTGCGGGTTTCCCTTGATTTGTGTGAAAAACAACGAGGCTTGGTCGTAACGTAGATTGCGAACGTTGTAGACGTTACCTACGGGGGGGGGGGGGGGGGGACCGGTAGCCACAAGAGGACAGCGGGCATCAGACACGGGGGCACAAACGTCACGAGTTTAAACGTACGTATTCCACTTTCGTACAGTGGGGAGTTTATCAGCAACATCCATGTTCATGTCGAGGTTACTGAGCCGGAAGGGGCGGCAACAGGCTGGTTCATATCTGAAATGCTGCCAGCAAATTATTAAAGTGGGGAGTGTACGTATGTACCCTACCAACCGTGCTAAATCAGGTGTGCGGGGTGGGAAGGAAGGACAACAAACTCAATACATAAAGCAGTTTTGAAAGAAATTAGTTTTCAAAAGACTAGGTGGTGTTCTGGACCATGGCCTCTGCACTCCTGTTGCAAAACTGTCGAATCTATTTGAGTAAAGTGACTCTTACCGGGGGGTACAACGAACATGTCTCCAGTCTGCAGGATGTAGTTGGAGTTGTGGATGGTAATGGCAACTTTTCCCTGTATGATGTTGAACAGCTGCAGAGGAAAACGTTGCACGCAACTCATTCCCGTTAAGGTGCAAGAGTCGTTGATATCCTTTCTCATGTCGTATTGTGAGAAATGCACTTCTACATCGCACAATATAGAAATCCATTATTTACATTTTCATAACTAAAACCCTTGCATAGTTATGCTGTAATATTTTTTTTTTTACCAGGTCAGGTCCACTGAGCGATGTAGCTTTTTTTCAGTAGCAACCTGGCCACAATTGATAGCTCAAATTTAGTGGCTTATCATGTGGACATTTATAGCAACCAAATCCTTTAAACGCATGTTCATTCTAAATGTGGAGAGAAAAACCGTGACCACGGGGAGAACATGCAAACTTCAAATAAACAGCAGGCGTCAAGGGTTGGGATGGAACCCATGGCCTCCTGTATACCAGGCCACCACGGCACCATTTCAGGAGAGATAGGAGAGGGCCCCTGGAGAGGAGTGAGATGAGGGGACAGGCAGGAGAGCACATGGAGGGGGAGCAGAGCGAGACGACAGGGGAGTTCGCCATGTCAATGCTCACCATGGTGTCCATGTTGACGTACTGCAGCCCCTTCTCTTGCTGTGGTCGCAGGATGAAGTAACCGCATGCGTACGAGGGTTGGCTCAGGGCCTTCCACACACCCAACGCGTCCGTGGGCTGCAGGGCCTGCCGGTGGGGTCCCAGGTACGCGCACATGTCCTGCGTACGCACGCAGTCTTCGCACACAATGGACATCCCGAATGTGGTCAGAGATAAAAGGAAAGTGCAGTCTGCCAGTAAGGAGGCGATGATTGCTACGTGCTATGTCATATTTCAGATTTGGCAAATTTAGACCACGATGCCCGGCACACAACATTGCTGAATGTTATAGGGGGATCTTGAACATCCACTCTGAATAATAATTAATGATTTACCTAGGAAGCCACATTCAGCGAAAGGAGTAATTTGTATGTTTTTATGTAAGGATGTTTTCACCCAGCGAATGAGTGTTTATATGAATGTGGGGGGGGGGGGGAAACCGGAGCACCCAGGATAAATCCCCCAGACAGGACAGACTATTTTAGTCCACACTTGTTGCGTTGCCTTCTCCCGGCGAGCCAGGGTATGGGCATCTCGACGCCGATGGGAAGGGGGTTTCGCAACGTTCATGTAAGCCACCAACCCTCGGTCTCTACAGTGCTCGATTACAAGCACCCGTCACCACCGGCAGGCTAAGCGGAAGCCACATTTTTATGGTCGATACACCCCCACAGTATTAACCAGGGCGGCATGCCAGAATGAAAGCTCATTTCACTGCTTGGGGAAAGGCTTTCACTTGAGGAAGCTATAGGGAGCCCCTCTAAAAGGAAGAATGGTGACCTACTCTTTCACAGTGGCCAGAAGTCTTGTAAGAAAGGGTGGGCGTACTCGCTTGACCCGACCACCACGTGACCCACCATTTCGACTGTGGTGTAGCTATTTATACTACCGGATGGACAGAGGTGGAACATTTAATAAACTTTCCCATTGTTTCAACTTCCACGGCAGGAGACAGAATCGGCAACCGCAGGATAGCAATCTCAGGGTAATAACCTCTTCTTTCCCCCCCACCCCTATAACATTTGCATTTTTGCATTATTATAATTTCTTATACTTTAATAACGCTATCCACATTCCAAGTAACACATTTATTTTTGGTACAGAAGGCTGCCCCATGCAGTTTGTCATTGGGAGTTGTCAGTGTGGGTTGGAGTTGGGGGTCCCAAGCGAAGTCCTTTTGACAGTGGTTTGGGTCTCCAAAATTTTTGATTTTCTATAGGGCAAGTCCCTAAAAGCAACAACAACTTTATGCTAAAGCAGTGGTCGTTAACCTTTACTGCAGCCTTGTACCCCCCCCTTTGCTTCTCAATCTTTAAAAAGGCTATCATGTTAATAAATACTTAGATTTGATGAAACAAAGTAATTGCACTGAAGTACTTCATGCGTTTCAATAATTTACCTTTTAACAAAAATCTGGCATGTCTCGCACCTCCCCAGAAAGGGCATCTCGCACCCCAAGGGGGTGCATGCACCGCAGGTTAAGAACCACTGTGCTAAAGTTTAATTCATAATGGATCATCTTCGTGACTGTTGTCGTGCCCCACCCCAATTTCAGAGACAAACATTGACAGAGCTAATGAATGCACTTATACCTTAGGTGGAAAAAGCTCAAAACCACAATCAATCCGCATTTCCCTCCCTGCAAAGCACGCCACTACCTTTTTCACTCTCATCTCTCTCCCCCTCCATGACTCTCCCTTCCCATCTCACACTACACCGCTCCACTCACTATCCCCTCCATGCATTCTGCTGGCTCTCCCCTCTACTCACTCTCCTGCCTCTCCTCTCCCATCCAACTCTTCTCCGCTACACAGTTACTGTCCGCCAAGGGCTGGACCACTCACCCATGACGAACTCTTCATTCTCGTTGAGACCCTGCACAGGTGTGCCTTCATTAACGTCCGCGAGCTCCATCTCCTCCGGTATGTCTTCCGTTTGGATCGACAGATTCACTGACCCAGGAGACGAGATATGCGGTTACTCAACTGAAACGTCACAGTGAACAGAAACTCGCCACCACCACCATCTGTAGCACCAACCACCACCATCGCCAGCACTCCCACCATCATTATCATCAGCACCACCACTAGTTGCACTACCCAAGCAAGAACACCAGCAGCATCACCTTCAGCAACAGCAGCAGACGGACCATTTCCACCACCAGCACACTTGTTAGTGGCATTTTGGCAAATTAACACAGTCATCTGAAAAGCTGATCGGCAGCTGTGCACAAGATACCTGGTAGGTTGGCGTTGTGGTCGCTGGAAACAGAGAATGGCGTGATCCGTGGGTTCTTCGGTCTACGAATGTTGGTTTTCATACTCTTCCTGTGGGCCCGATGGGGGTTCACCTGCTCTGGAGAGATGATTCCTGATACTAGAAACCCACCTGCGACATACATTCGCACACAAAATCACCACACCAACGTCTTTCGCAAATAGCATTTTGACAATTTATACAAATGTTGACGGTGGTCACCATTACATGGACAGCGACATTGCCTTGCGGTAGCGTGTTTACCGCTTGTTGCAGATTCACTGGTTCGAATCCAGCAGCCGCCCAGGTTACTACTGAGAGTGCAGTAACCACACGCTTCCTGGCTTCAAAAGTGGGCGTTAAAAATCCCCAACGTCATTCACAACACTGGGCCTATTGTGCGCCGGCGTCAGAGTCCACATTTAAAATAAATAAAAAATTGCCGCTAATTACTCAATTGGGTCTATAAATAGCAATCATCGCCCCCTATTGGCAGCCTATATACCCCAGGTCACGTTGGCAAGACTAATCGTGGTCTCTTGAGTTTTCACCTGGTTAAGCAAAATAAACTTACATAATATGCCACACCGTCAGTAGCGAAATACGCAGAAAAAGACCCAACGGTGGAGACAGTGACAATGGTAAAGACACCACAGCATTGGTGAGGACCTGTACCTGATACAAAATATACTTTGAAGTTTTCCTACGATGTTATTCCGACTGTGCTGTCTATGTCATGCCATGTGAAATATAATTCATTTGGCTCACAGGGCTATACCAAATAAATGAAACCGAAATAATTCATTTGGTACTCACAATAGTATTGCAACCCGTTGTGTTAAAGAACAGACCTCAGAAGCAACTACCACAGAGCTACCTCCGAGATCCCTACAAGCAAACTCTGGTCCACTAGGTAAGGAGGCAGCACATTCCAGTCCACTCGACTCCAGAAAGTATAGTTTGTCGCGTGATAGTCATAACGATATTTTAATTCTAAAGGGCTGGAATTTCACCAAATTAAGTGTGGAACTAAAGTTAATGTACAGGGCTTCTTGCGCAGCCATTGGTGACCAGGCTGAGAGCTTCAACTTACCAACCTCGAGGTTCCGGTTTAAATTGCAAGTGGCTGAAAAATCTGGACCTCCGAGCCACCCGGTCACTTTAGACCAGAGAATGTAAAGACCTCAGCATTAAGATACACCTGCCAATAATTACCTACAGTATGGATAGAGACGCACACATACACACCTGATCGCCGGAGCCTGTACTTGATGCGCTCTCCAGCCCAGAATTTCAGTGTGGGTACACGTGTGCGCTCCGAGCGGCGCATGCCCGGAGTGTTCGTCGGCAGTCCTGAAAGCAGACAAATGGCGAGTTCAGCAGCGGCAAGCACATGTGGTTATAAAGGTGACGGGAAAAGGTGCAGCCCTGACATTACTTTTTCACTCGCGCCACTGCTGCTGAAGGAAGGGCCCTCACGATAGAGCTCTACAAAGAACCCCCACTCTCGAGGATAATTTGGCCTACACTTTCAAGCGGCAAGAGCTGGGGAGAACAACACTTTACCCCGCCACACGTGACCCCGCCAACACTGTCCTTGATTAACAAGTTTCAAGTCTATTGCTTAACCAGGTGAAAGAAAGGGACAAGGATAGTCTCATTTACAAGAGTGGCCTGGGTAATCAAAATGACAAGAGATATAACTAATATGGTGGACAAATATAAAATACACTTCCTGTAATAAACGTTGGCTAGGACATTACTGTTAACACCAGAGGAAAGTTAAGTGAAAGAAACATCAAAATAGATTCATGGTAGCGATTGCACTCGAACATAAACTCAACAGGGGAATGGGGTCTCATAAATATCTGCCGATTCTTTTGCCTGCTTCACTGGAAGATGGAATTGCCGACCCCCTGGATTGTAAAATTGGGGGAAAAAATACTAAATTGCCGTCACTCACTGATCTTCTTGTGGAGGTGCTGCTTTTTCGGGCACTGGACTCCCTCCATCGAGTCATCCTGCATGCTCTCCTCAGAGTCTGTGAAAACGCCATGAGAAAATGGACAAACTGTAAAAGACGAGAGCCATTTGGTGTAGACTCCCGGGGCGCAGGATACCTCCTCTACGTGCCACGCAATGCAGCCGATGACGAAGTTACCAAGCATCCGCCCATAACCCCTCGCATTCAGCAGCGCTCGTGGGAAGCGGTGACACGTTTTTTCCTTGACTGTGTGTAATCCGATTCGTCAAGGAATCGAACCGACAATCAATTATTTAAATAATTGGATACCCAAGGTCTACTCTATTAACTTACAATGGGTGCCGTGATGCTTAGACGATGGCTTGTTGTCATAGATATTGTGATTCTCCAACGGTGTGGCATCCACTTCCGACCTGACACGCACGCAAATACACGCAGAAGAACTTGCCAGTAGATACTTCACTACTTTTTCAAGATTGATGGTTAGGTTCACTATGTATACATCTAATCGTGCACGCAGAAATCGATTGTATACAATTTGTTAATTATAGGAGGCAAATGTTATGATTAGGCTAATAGGAGACAAATATTACAAAAAAGTGAATAAAAAAATATTTGTTTATAGAAACTTATGACCAGGGATTCATGACAATCCATTCTTCTGGGAAACAGGGAAAATTTGTATATGTTTATTTGTCAAGTCTGTTTATATGCTGAAGGTTAAAATGTAAGTGTGTATATTCTTTAGGCCTTTCGGTAAAGTCACATAGATGGTTCAATGAAAATAACAAAAAAACTCCGACGTTTCGATCAACACAAACGATCGTCATCCTCTTTCCTCCTGATGACGATCGCTAGTGTTGTGATCGAAATGTCTTAGTTTTTTGTTATTTTCTTTGAACCCATCTACGTGACTTTACCAAAAGACCCAAAGAATATGAATTCCTGCAGTCACGAAAGCTTTAAGTCAAGTTGTAAGTCTGTGGACTTGACTATTGCTAATTTACTGTAAAAGCTGATGGTCACAAAACACTCAGAATAATTATAGATCTTGAGGTGGTCAGGCAGTGCAGAGACAAGAGAACTAAGCTGGAAACATTGAGGTCCTCCTGGGTTCAAATCCAGACACCTGTGAGTTGATGGTCTCGGTTCAGCAACCAGTGATGAGAGCAGATGCGAAAGTGCTGCCCTTCAATGTGTGGAACAGACATCAATTGAAGGGATCTCCCAGGTTGTTACGGGATCTGTTTCTGTGGGCCGTTCTCTAAGAGAAAGGGTTGCAGTGCTGTGAGAGGTCCGAATGGATGCTCCGTCTCATGAAATTGATAATGTAAATCAGGATAACAGTGGGGTGAAAACATAACATTGAAAAATAAGTTCATTTTCAATTTGATTGGGGAGGCAGAAAAAATTCTTTTTTTTTAACACAAAAACATTGTAGACCACTTACGGCTCCTCTTGTGATGCGTTCTCAGACTGCGTGGTCCCCACTGTGCTGTTGGTCGTGGCGGTGCTAGGCTCTTGATAATCAGAATCATCATCGTAATCAGTGCCATTGTCGTAGGATTCACGGTAGACCTCAGGGAAAGGAGATGGCTTTTGAGTTTTCCTTCCCCTGCTGCCCTGTGTGGCCTCAGGCCTGTCCTTAAACAAAACTCCGCTTCTCCGTTGCTGATGCAGTGCCTTTTTCACAGATTCATGGATGGAACTCTGGGGTAGCTTGTTTTGGGAGAGGTGCACTTCAGCAGAATCATTGCCGCTAGATAAAAAACACAACAAATAAATTATTAAATCAGTGTCTTAATCCTACAATACGTCCGTTGAGATGTACATGTTATTTGCGGTTAACACAATATGTTTTACGACTCTTCACTTTTGTATCTGTGCCTCCTTACATTTTGCTTTATTTTTTTAGTTTTAAATAATTTGCACCGATTTCTAACCTTTCCCCCACATTCGTAAAATGCACTAACCATTACTAAGATATGTTAGTTAATTCATTTTTAAATGTTTCCGCTGGGCTAATTAAACAAGGACAAATTACAGAGACAATGAAAAAGAGAAAAAACTATTGAGCATAATCGCGAGTCAATTAATAAAAATCCATCAACTTGTGGAAGGAGGGGATGGTGAGGTTGCATAGTGACATGCCTAAAAGCAATTACTAAAACCTAACCAAAAGTCAAAGCAGAGGAATAAGGAGATTCTATCAAGGACAGGTCATCTCATCATCATCACGAAAATCATTACTAATAGTGTCAGCATCACAAGTATCTCCTTAACCATCAATATCAACTTAAAATAAATATCTTAATATTAGTGAATAATGCTTATAACACAACGTGAGTATAAATGGGACACTTTTTTATTGCGACCATGCAATAACTAATTCCGTTCTCGGCCGGCCTCTTGATATTTTTAAAGGTTGGGCATTTGCTGAGCAACCTTGTAAAAAAAATGTTTTAAATGAAACATTACTATCCTATGTCTTGCCAGGCAGCTCAGAGGCAGGACAAGCGACTACGAGTTCAAATCCTGGCTGGAGGTCCGAGTTAGCCCATCAGCCCACCAGGGTCAATAAATTAGGGACCACTTTGTGGATGAGAGAACAGTGGTTGCCCCATTGAGAGACTGGCTCCACCACCAATATTTGGTATTTCCACCCCTGGTCCTACAGGGCTGCAAATAGGATATACATACTGACCGAATGCGCATTTGAGCGGGAAAATATACATTTTAACCTCACCAATGAACACGAGTCGCCAATTCGGACGCAAGACTTAAGAGCCTCTTAATGAGCAGGTAGATGATCTGGCTCCGCACACCTTTGCTGCAGGGACGAATCCGTGTCCGTCACCATCGGCTCAGGCTGTTGGCGCCACTTGCTGTGGCTTGCGGGCATGTGCCCCGACAAGCCTGGCGGATGCTGCAGCTGTAGAGGGGTCTTTTGGCGTGCCGAGTCCGGCACGCTCGCGGCATGGTTCACGGCGGAGGGACGCTTGAGCTCGGAGCGTGGCGTTAGGACCCTACCCACACGCAAAAGAAGACAAAACTCGTAAGGCAGATCGGTTCATTGATTACCGAACAAGTCCAACGCAGCTACTCGCAAAAATATGTAAATCACACATTTTATTCAGCAGAACCTTGTAACCTTTTCTACGAATTTCCGCTGAAGTAGCGTCGTACGACTGCAGGTAGGTAATGCTCCGTTATATTGTTGCTCCTTCCTTGGATTAAGTGACATGTACTGGCTATGTGATAAGTGTTGCTGATTGTCACTTATTCTCCCCCGACTCCCGTCCCCATTACTGCCCCCTGTTGATGTTTTGCTATTTCTTATTGCATGTTGTCAATTCCTGTAACTTATAGCTGCCATAAGCAAGCAGAAATTATTACATTGTTTTTCTGTTCCTCAATTTTTTTTTATTTACAAACAATATTCCTTTTAAAAGAGTGATATGGACTAAAATGTTACTTTTGCACAAATTAGACCCTTGTTTATTTGTTTTTGGGCTGTACTGCATATTGCTAGGTATGATGTCTGACGTTTTGCTCCACATGTTGGAAGCGGAGGCGTCCAGCCAAAACAAGACATGGTACAACCCAAAACACGAGCTATACTATAGAGCACAACCCCAAAAACCTACAGAGTGGCAGACCCTTGTTTGTTATTTTATATCCTCCAACGTGACCAAACATGCTAAACCTCACCGGCTTTGCTTCTGCTGTGAGCGGTCCTTCTTTGATGCCGAGTTTGGGGTATCCATGTAGACTTCACTGAAGGTGGAGAAGACCGAGCGATGGCCTTTCTGGGCGAGCATGGGCAGGCTTGTGCCAAAGGTGGACTTGCGAGGGGGTGGCGTCGGCGACTGCGAGGACGTGCTGCCCCCCTCATTGCCACCCATCTCCTGGTTTCCTTGCATGTGCACGTCCCACTGCTTGTGGCTCGAGACAAAGTTCACCGTTTCCCGCTGGCTCTTTCGCACGTGATGGCTGCCCTGCTTGAGAATAGACTTTGGCGTGTAAACCGGGATCGGGGCCTCCTCTCGGCCGTGGCTTTCCCTCTTCTGCTTCTTGGTAGGGCGATTCGGTTTCGCCGACTTGGCATCTTTCTCCGGAGGGGACGGTGATGGAGACCGTGATGCTGGAGAGAGCAATGGCGATGGGGGTGAATTCGATGGGCAGGACGACGTAGATTTCTTTTGCGAGTGGGACAGCGGCTTCCGGGGGGTGGCGACCGCCGCCTGCCTGCCACTGTGATCATAATTGGGAACAGTGGAGGGGTCGATATCCGTCACAATCCACCAATTGCCTGGTGGCTTGGATACGCGACGGCCGAGTGTCATCTTGGAGTGATTCACCTCCACTTCTTCGCGCAGCGCATTCGGTTTCTGCTTTGGTTTTGATACAGCATTTGTCGGTCCCATCGCTTCCTTCTGGGAAATTTTCTTCTTTGAAGGCAATGCCTTGCCGGTGATGTTGCCACCGCGGTCATCTAAAGCAAAAATTACAAGTAATTGACCCAACAAGATTAATATATATGAAAAATTTTGGGGTTTTTTGTTTAAGTTGCCAGGTAACAAATTGATTCTGTGTAAGGAAATGCTAATCCTACAAAATCCATATTGTCAAGAATGTATCCCATATCTCGGACACTAACAGACAATGCACGTTCTACATACGCAAACACATTTTTTAAAGCAGCCTTTTCACCAGGGCGTCACATTGCACTTTTACACACGATAAGCAACTTGCATCAGATCTGATGTCAAACATTTGAAAAGGTACCCCTTGTAGCAGCTGTTCCCGTGAGTACAAGGTAATGCAGCACCTAAACAGCAAATAGGCATGAGTCTACCAATAGATGGAAATGTTGCTGTGTGTAATCGCAATTTAGTAATTTTCAGGTAATTTTTTTACGTGCCAAATTTGTCACCCGACACCAACACATGATGAAAGACATCAGGAGATCATTAACATCAACTGTGAAGCAGGCGGCACTTAATATTTTGCGATGAATTCACCCGCAGTAAAAACCAGGGTGGTTGCCGGGCTGGAAACGCCGAATCCCTGCAAAGAGCGGCAAGAGCATTACTTCAGTGCCGTGCCACAACCCCGGCAAACATACCGTTTTATAGTCTCATTTAGACATGATTTCCTTCAGGCCGGATTATTGAGAGTTTACTGTACCCATTACCAAAAACACAAATCCACGTGCTCACCTTCGTCCTGAGAATCCGTGTATTTATTTTGTTCCGCAAAACGTCGGCTGGCTTGGACTGGGCGACCGCCCTTTACCTCGGACGGTGACGATTCCGAGGCACTGTCGTTCTCTTGCTCCTCTTCCTGTAACTCCTCCTCTTCGGGCTTTTCATCGTCCTCCAAGTCTGCTTGCCTCTTGTTCGTGCTCTTCGGGTTGCTTTTATCCGCTGCGCGGCAAGAGGCGCTGGCGTGCTGCACCTTTAAGGAACTTGACGCATGTGCCGTGGTCTTATCAGCCACGCTCGCTATCCGAGGCGGCTGAAAAGTGCTCGGCCTCGATTTCACCAACCTGCTGCTCCTGAGGTGACGAGTATTTTCGGTTTCCTCCGCTTCCACAGCCTGCGACTTGGATAACGATTTTGTCGTAACATTCGAGGCGGGAGCTACGGAGTCTTTCTTGGATGCCTTCTTACCTTCGCCGCTGGGTGTGGCAATCCTTGCAATCGCCACTTTCTTTGAGCCTGTGGCGGTAACAGCAAGGGCCGATGGGCCAGTAGCAGCACGCGTGTCCGTGTTCACACTTTTGTTTCTCTTCACCTCTCGGTTTCGGACATTGTTTTCCTTGGCAGGCCGGACCTCCTTGGCATTCTTCGTTCTCTTGGAGTGCGGCAGGGAGAGCCACCCTTCTGAGCTCATGTCATCATCCATGACCTCAAAGTCGTCGCAGAAATCATCGTCCGCCTCAAGAATGGCGAGGTACTTGCTCGAAGAGATGCTTGGCCTTGGCGCCACGCTGCTCACCCTGAGCAGACAATGGAAGGAGACGAACATTAAAAGTCATTGTACATCAGATGCACGTCGTCCAATTGACACATTTGTTCTTTGAAAGCTTTGACTTGTCAGCATTGGGTTAATTTACAAATAGAATAAGCAACTGTTGAGAAACAATGCCGAGATCGACATGGGGATTTCTCTAATACATTTTTTCTAATGATTTAATTCAGCAGAGTCTTGCTGTATCTCACTTTTTCAGGAGGGTGCGACATTGAGATATATTGCCAATTCCACTACAAAGCACTATTGTGTGTGTGGGAGAAAACTGAAGTACTTAAAAGAAAACTCAAGCATGAGGGGATAAAAAAGGTCCACACAGGTGACATAATGCAGTACCTTGAGACTGTGGGCTTCAATGGTGTTGTTTTCAGAGGGTTTACACCATGAGGTGGAGCTGCCACAGTGAGTTTTTCACAGCCTTCAACATCGTCGAATATCAACCTGGGGACAATGCAATCCTGCAGTCATTCATACAGATCCATAAACTACAACACCTATTTTCCACTGTGCAACCCCAGCCTTGCAGAGGCCATGCCAAGCCAACCTGGAGAGGCCTCAGGAGGCACCAGGTGGTTCTTTTTTTCCACTGCAGTAACAGAACAGTGTCATTGACGTCACGCACAATAAACGAGTATAAACGCGTATAGATGACGTGGCTAAAGCTGCGTCTCCTCAGTGTTACTGACTGCAGTCACAATGAACGCATCAAATAGCATATTTACAGATTCAGGCTTAAAAGTTCTGTGCTTTCCACAACAAAATATATATTTTCAAAGATGCAAAAAGTTGCTTGCCTCTTTTTGGAAACAACGCCCTTGAGCACGGAGTGGGGACTCGGCATTTGATAGACTCGCGACAGCGAGCCAGTGGGATTCTGTCCCCTGTCCAGCTCGGTGGTGACACGGGGAGTGACCTTATTCAAAACCTTTGACAACAACTTGCAGGTGGAACCAGTCTTGTCCGGAACAGCGCTGTGCCTGGTTGGCACTGCATCATGTTCTACATCATAACCAAGATAAAGTGCAAATCAGCACTGATTAAGAGCAGCATACCCTTCAAAACAATTCACAAATGATTACCACAGAATGCATAAAATAACATCTAAACAAAGGGCCCGTTTTCATAGTTGTGATGTGTGTTCAGGTTGTACCACGTGCAGAACTCTGTTTCTAAATAAGCTCCCAGCAGCGACACATCGGACATCGTGTCAAACACACCGGTAAAAACCTGAATACACAATGGAGAGCTGTACACACAGCGCAATCACAAAAATCCTACGCAATTTTCAATTTCATCCTTTGCACGTGACCGTCTGTCCCTTCCTGTGGGTGGGTATAGTCAGCACGACGCACGAACTCGGCTCAACGCTGTGGGTTCCAGGTGACGTCATTGGCGCGTATGCTCAATTGCATGCCACCCAGTCAGCCAGGAATCCAGGCATGAAGCCAGCAAGCAATTGAAAAAATTAATATTGTACGATTACTTTGATATCCATCAATCAATGGACCTTTTGGATCAACTTTTTAACCATTTCCATTTTTTCATGTGCTAGGATTGTATGACGTGTTTAAACTCCTATGTCATGTATTGGCAAAATCCCTCCATAAACACTGTGGAACATTCAGTACAATACACTTCATGCAATCCTCGCACATGAAAAGATGGAAATAGTTCAGCAATTGAAAAGGTTCTTTGATTGATGGAAATCATATCATCGTACAATATATTTTTTTAAATTTCTAGCTGGCTTCATGCCTGGATTTCTGTCTGGCATAGTTTTAAGTACCCACAAACATGGTTATCAGGCAGTTTACAAAGTACAAAACGATTGTTCTCCAGTCAGACAACCCTTACACTCCTTGAGCTTACCTTCATCCAAAGTCTCTATTTCATCCAATTTCAGCCGGTTCACAAAAGCCTGCTTCTCCAAATGTTCCTCCCCCTGCTGTAAAGAAACAATGCTGTTATCGAACTACGGCAGTATGCTCCAAAAGCTTCAATCGTAACAAACAGGAAATTGAGATAAAGAACAAAGCATTACCTGCTTCAGTGACTGGCCAAAGGATTCCTCTCTTCGAACCAAGGTCCTATGAACATTGTCCGTTGACGGCCTTTTCACAGAGTCAGCCAGTCCCAGACTTCTGCGTGCGTTAGCTAGGATCTGACTTTCGCAAGCATCAGCCGGCGCTTGGCTTCTGTGCGCATCACCCTCCAAGTAGCTTCTGTGCACATCAACCGGCATGTGGCTTCTTCGTGGATCATATCGGTGTAGGCTTTTGCGCAAGTCGCCATGCGAGGCCGGGCTTTTATAAACATTGGTCCTGTTTTCGGACCCAATTTCTGGGATGAAGGAACTCTCGTCACCGCTGTCCTCAGCTGCAAAGGCAACAAGAGGTTGTGAGCAAAAACGTGGCAGCATCAGAAATGCACCCCTGTAGCCGACATCTTCAATTACCACGGTTGGCTATGTACGGTGCGACAGAAGTTCAACATACATATAATACACGCAAGCCTTACTTCAGGCCAGGCAAACGGTGTATGTTCATTGTTCTTTACACAGAATAACAAGATGTTACAAATATTGTAGAAACCACTGAATAAAAACAACAATAACACAAACAAGCTTATTACAAAGTCAGGATAGTAATGCTTACAAATTATAAACAATAAATACAATTATTAGTAAAAGTTGACTCACGAAAATCAGCAAAGTAGTCGTTGATGGTTGCAGCACCATCCCAAACATTTATATTAAGTTGTCTCCCTGTCCGCCTGTGGACACAAGGTGTTAAAAATGTGATGAGACGCAAAGGGGTTAAATACCACACTGAGATCCTGGCCCAAAATTAAACCAGGTTCAAGTGGATGGTGTCAGCTCGTTGTGCACAAAAAAAACATCATATTGTCTTTATATCACTTCATTTGGATACATTCTAATGCTAACATTTAAAAAACAATAAAATATTTGTTTTTCCGAAATACAACAAATGAAAAGTACATGAGCCGTGCCTCTCTTAAGTTTTGTAACATCATTTTCTGCTCTTCTCACTCTAAATTGGAAGTAAAAATCATCCGTATCGTGGACTGATGCTGACAGCGCAATTGAAATACAAGTGGGAGACAAACAATTTTAAATGTGAATAGAGCTACAACAATTCAGACATGGATGTCCGTGCAGGTTGGGGAGGTTGAATCAACCCCATCATCCCTCTGGGATCGATATTATACTTATTGGTTTGTGGCCAAGTCAAAAGTGGTTACCATATGGATGGATTCATCTGGACTTCGCACTGGCTCGACAGGGCTGTAAACTGGAGGTGCACACCACCTCAATGTTCATTTGAGCCGAAAATCCCTTCCACTCCATGTCTACTCACCTTCCAAAAAGAATGTTCGGGCATAGGCTCCTCTGCATACTTTGTGGACGACTCTAGAAATGAAAGTCAAATGCACAAGCGACTAAAATAAGAACAGAAGTCCGACTGCTCCGGTAATCCGCGGTGGATTTAAAACGCTCACGACCTGGAAACCGTAGATGTGGGGCTAACGCAGGGCTGCAGTGAAACGCAGAGGTAACATTTTATTTTACTTTGCAGGCACGGACGGTGCGCTTTTTCCATTGCTATATATTACATCTTCACCCCCGCTCCATCTGGGATGTGGGAACCAATTTCGATACTTCTGCGGCAGCTCCAATTGTCTCCTCTTCTCAGGGAGAAGTGCGGAAATTTGCGTCTGATAATGTGGACAGCCTCATTCATTACGCGGGTGTCCACCTCTGTGGAATTAACCCAGCATTTCGGAATCAGAATATGTATTTATACTGGAATCCGATGAGCTATAAAGCTCTTTTTCACATACATCCAGTAGGACGGGTACGAACGGTACAACAGCACAAAAACCATGATGGTAGTGCAACGTACAAGAAAGGTAAACAAATCACCCGAACACAAATAAAACAAAACAATTAACCCATCCTACCAGGCAAAGCCCACCGAGTCATTAACTTACTTTTCAGAAGCGACCTGGCCACAAGTGATAGCCACACCAAAGTGACTCATCATTTGGACAAATATTGATAGCACCAAAATAATCTAAATAACCTTAATGCATATTTCTAGTGGTGGCAACAGCAGTGGGAGCCAATCAACAAAGGAGCGTGCGTGGGAATTTTGTTATTATAATAGTTTCTTATTAGAACTTTTAAATAACGTTGACCATGTTAGAAAAGTTATCAATGTTGAAATTGTCGAATGTGATGTAAATGTTAGATCAAGTAAAAATTTTTTTATCGGAAAACTCCTTTAACAAGGTATATTTGCGCCACTTGGGTCTTATAAAAATACTCGAGCGCGAATTAGTCGCGTGTCAAGCTCTGCAATTCCTATATTTCCCTGTAATCCGTATATTTTGTTTTCGGCTATTAATGCACATCTTTCGCCGTTTTATTCTATCCAACCCCTAGCGGTGCGTCGTGGATTATAGGATCCGATCCACGGCATGCCCCCACCCACATCAACGTGGATTATTGGAGTTCTACTATAAATCGTTGTACACGTGACATTACACACATTTACATTCGTCCCGTACATAATTTACGACCAAACAGAAATAGTAAATGATACATTGCAACAAAAATGCCTATCTGCTATTTTAGTGTTTGTCATTTACCTCCGTAATCATCAGTAACCATGGCCTATTCACTGCTGGAGAACAGCGTCCCTCCCCCTACGGTTCCTGAATGCCGCAGTCCACCCCTGTGGTGCATATTTTGAATCTTGCATTCAATGGTGAAGTATGGTGCAGCCGGTGGCTTCTCTCTGCTCAAACGAGCGTGGGGCCGATGTTAGGCTCTTTAAAAATCCCAAGCCAGACGAGTAGGACAGTACAATCATAATACGAAACCAGATTGCCCCCATTGAACCAAAACATAACACATTATAATGCAGCATACACTGCCACCATCTCTTATATTATACAATCATTTGTGTTTTTGGTTAGATGGCGTCAATATAAATGTGCCGTTAAACCTCCCACCACCCGGCACGGACGATTAATAAGGTTTGTTACGTAAACAGAACATGCCAATGCGTTACTAGTACAGCACATCGATGTGGAGAGAAAATTCATATTTACAATCTTATATCATTATATTTGCATTGTTTACCCAGGAAAGGTTCACCGAGGCTCGTAACTAATTTAGGTAGAGGGTCCTGCCAAGCTTTTGAAGTGGTGACCTATGTCTGTTGTGTACAATATACAGGTTACCGCTACTATGATCCCCTTTTGAAACGTAGCAATGTGGGGGGGGGGGGGGAATCGGTGCGACAGAAGCGGCGGTGACGCCACCACGACGCTCGTGCCAGGCTAGGTGCACTTTGAGGCCACGGTTTAAGTGTCGAAAGCCACGCTGGCAGGAGGTCACCAGGCAGACCCAGCAGGTGCCCACGGGTCGACTGACTGAGACGAGTGGCTGATGCGCCACCACCCGTGCGACAACTACTCTGCACACACCCCACCCGGTAGACGCGTACCAGGTACAGAGCAATGGGCGCCTTGTTAGCGTCGCAAAAACCTTGAGACAAAGGAAGGAAGCCCTTCTTCATCCAACAGTGGATAGCTCCGAAAGGTTGACAGCGTTATCGCGACACGGTTGTAGTCTGTCGACCGAACAGTTCTCACCCGCTCGCGCAGACCGTGCACTCGAATGTGCACAGTCCGCGTTTTGCGAGTCACACACAAAAGTCTTTTGTAGTTATTTCTCAAAACAACGAACACGGATTGAATCTGGCGCGGGAGAGAAGCGCACGGCACACTCCGCCACCCTCAGGCTCGCTCACTCACCATTGTCGTCGAGGCAAAGCCGGCACAAATACGACGTCCCGGCGACGCTCCCTTTCCTTCATAAAATCCGACAACCAAAGTTTAAGCGATGAAGACGAGAGTCGTATTTTTTTATTCGCTGAACTTTGCCGGGGACCCTCGTGAGGAGAACTCCGAGATCAAAAAATGGCGCCAACGGCAAACGGGCGTTGAAACGGCGCTTCCCCATTGGTCAGTTTAAAATCCGAAGCGGCCAATAGGGGCCTGGCTTGCTGGTTTGATCACGTGACCCCCGAGTGGGGGGAGGGGCTATGTTAATAATAACAATAATTATATTTTGATTTAAAGCTTTCGTGACTGCAGTAATTCATATTCTTAGCTCTTTCGGTAAAGTCACATTTAAGGGAAACAATAAAATAATAAAAAATATATAAAACAATAAAAATTCTCAAATGTTTCTTGCCGTTGGTTTTTCACACCTGATGATGACGTTTGTGTTATGGTCGAAACGTCGTGATAATTTTTATTGTTGTATATATATTTTATTATTTTATTGTTTCCCTTCAGCGTGACTTTACCGAAAGAGCTAAGAATATGAATTACTGCAGTCACGAAAGCTTTAAATCAAAAAAATATTTTTTTTATAATATCCATATTATAAGGTTAAAATTTTGACTAAAACTTTCGTGACTGCAGGAATTAATATTCTTGGTTCTTTTGGTAAAGTCACGTAGATAGAAAATAAAAAAATAACAAAATAAAATAAAAATATAAAAAATTACATTTCCAAAAAATAAAAGCAAAAAACCCACGACGTTTCGACCACAACACAAGCGGCCTTCATCAGGTGAAGGGACGAGACTGTCTGGAGGACAGCGCTCAGCGCACTCAGCGCTGTCCTCCAGACTCAGCGCTGTCCTTCAGACAGTCTCGTCCCTTCACCTGATGAAGGCCGCTTGTGTTGTGGCCGAAACGTCGTGAGAATATTATTGTGTTATTTTATTTTATCAATTTATTATTTTATTCTCATTCTACGCGTGACTTTACCGAAAGAACCAAAGAACACAAGCGGTCTTCATCAGGCGGAGAGAAAAGAGGGAAGGGGGGCAAGCCTCCAAATGCAGCTGCTTATAAGGCGCTTTCAAAGTGAGCAAAGCTGTGCGTAAACAGGCATGGGCATCCAGTGACCAGTGTCGGAGCAAAGCACCGCAAGTACAAATAGTTAATTTTAGTTCATTTAGTTCCATTTATTTTGGTATAGCCCTGTGAGCCGTTCGACTCTTGAATCGGGTGCAACCGCAACAAACATAACAAAAACTAAAACATGAACAGATAACCGCGTCAGCAGCAGTGGAGTGGATGGCTGCGATGTCTCCGTGCAGCGTTATGGGATGCAATTGCATGACGCTACATAAAATGTTATTCTTTGTGGATCGGGCATTGCGCCGTGATGTTGTATGGTCTGTTCTGGAGGCCCGAATACAATGCAGGTGTACGCACATGCGTGGCAAGTGGCCTGTAGTCTGTGCTGTATGATTAGGCCGAGCCCATTAAGAGCAGGCGTGTTGTTACAGGGAAAGCCAGCTTGCATTACGGATATATAATTTTGGTCCTCCCCTTAAGTACCCGGTTGATCATTTTAAGCGCAGGCATTGTGCAATTCTCCTTTTTTGCTTGTACTGCGTTGACGTTTAAAGCGTCAATGAGAAGATATGCATTTTCTTGGTTCTTTCGGTAAAGTCACGTTGAAGGGAAACAATAAAATAATAAAATATATATAAAACAATAAAATTCTCACAACGTTTCGACTGCAACACAAGCAGTCATCATCAGGTGTGAAAACCAACGGCAGTCGAAACGTCGTGAGAATTTTATTGTTTTATATATTTTTTATTATTTTATTGTTTCCCTTCAACGTGACTTTACCGAAAGAACCAAGAATATGAATCACTGCAGTCACGAAAGCTTTAAATCAAAATATATTCATTGTTCACGTTGTAGTGCACTTAACAGAAACGCAGTTATTCTTGCATGCAAACATGTAAATCAAGTGCGTTTGCCCATACAATGTACATACAAATCATAGACCCTGCATAAGCTTATCTCTTATGCCTAACACCCAACAACCCAATCCAAACTCATGAATGCATTGCAACTGATACTGCCCTCCTCACGCATTCTCACTTAAAAAAAAACGATGCCTCAACTCGTCCCAGCCACGCGTAATTGGCTCTTGCACAACTCCACATTTCCGTCTTCCGACACGGTTAACCCCGAGTCTTAAGATTATATTTTCAACGAGAATACTGCATTGGGATATTTTTTTTGTAAATTACATGGTAAGGAGTGTTTTGGATGCCAGGAAGCCACAGTGCACGAACATAAATCCCAAACTTTCAGCTTTCCAAGGAAATGTCCGGCTAAGTCTTCACAAAAAATGCGTGGGTGGAATACCTAGAGAAAACAAGCTAAAGATCGCATAGTACATAAACCAACTTGGTGTACTGCCATTTATTGGCTGTCACAGCCCAGCGTTTTTTTAAGTGAGCGACTTGATGAATCCTGATTCAATGTTACAAATAGTTCATAGTTCATAGTTCATTTATTTGGTATAGCCCTGTGAGCCATTCGTCTCTTGAATCGGGTGCAACCGCAACAAACAAAAACATGAAGAAGAAAACATCTTAAAGTGACTATGTGACTGTGCAAACAGAAAATACAGGAAAAAAATATCAAAATATTCCTGAAATAGCACCGTACACCAATGCTGTGTGCAAAAATCCCAGTGGGATGCAAGTCAAATAACAACAACAACCACAAGACAACTAAGATTAAGGCCATCAGTCTAACTCCGTACTACAAATGGATTAAAAGGTTGAGATATTAATCTCTGTAAACCCACTGCTGCATGAAGACCTCTCCATGCCATGTCAATCATGGGAGTTGTTTGACTATACTTTACCACTTGCCAATGAAAGCCCCAACAGGGAAAAAACTCAAGGCACCAGGTTCAGTGCGGTATGCTAACCACCGTTCCACTGCTGTGAATCAGAATTCATTCATAATAATGTGATAAACAGTTGCACCTATAGAGGCTGTATGATGCGAAGACTATACTCTTTGGTTCCTTGGGTAAAGTCACGTAGGTATAAAACAAAATCACGTTTCGGGCGCAACACACCTGATGACGGACGCTTGTGTTGCACCCGAAACGTCGTGATTTATTCTATACCTACGTGACTTTACCGAAAGAACCAGAGTATGGATTCCTGCAGTCACGAAAACTTCAAATCATGCGAAGACTACTTGAAAACCTTGTTTTTTTCTTAGATGTGTTCATACATTGTGCTTAAGAATAGAAATTTCGAAGGATGTGTCAATCCACCCCTACCACCTCCTGATCTCCAAAGCATGATGACTGACAGGGATGCATGACCATGCACAATTAATATAAAAAAACTAAACGACACTGTATAAAACTGCAAAGGCTTCGTTCAATTACAACCACAATCCTTTAAAGCCGCAACACATTTTTACGCGCATCGAGTAACAACAAAATTAAGCACAAGACGCACAGGGGGTGCTCAATTTTGCGACGTCGATTTATTGTGGCAAACGACATGTTACAGAGCTGAGCGGGTGCTGACATGAGCGCAGCGCCGCAGTCAAGCTCTCCGCCAACAAGGGAGCATGGGGGAGGCTTCACTTCTGGCTCGACTCGGACTTGGAGGCACGCAGCGAGGAGATGCGACGGCGCTTGGCGATTTGCTCCTGCCGCTTCTCCTTCGCCTCCTTGAGCCTCTTGGCGAGCAGGCGTGCGTACTCGGCCGCCTGCTCCTTGTTCTTGAGCGTGCGTCGCTTCTTGAGGGCGATGCGGCGGCGCTTGTGCCGCAGCACGCGCGGCCGTCACCAGCCGCTGGATCTTGGGCGCCTGAGAACGCGGCTTTTTGCCTTCCTTGGTGAGTGGTCTCCTGACCACGTATTTCCCTGACGTCGTCCTCCTTGGAGATGTTGAAGAGCTTGCGGATCTTGCTGGCACGCTTGGGTCCCAGGCGGCGAGGGATGGTGGTGTCGGTCAGGCCGGGGATGTCCTTCTCGCCCTTCTTGACGATCACCAAGTTGAGCACGCTGAGGTTGGCGTCGACGATGCAACCGCGCACCGATTTGCGCTTGCGCTCGCCCGTGCTTCATGGGGAAGCCCTGCTTGGCGTTGCCTCCGCTGATGCGCACCACGTAGCCCTTCCACTCGTCGCCCAGGCAGTCAGCGGACACCTCCGTGGCCATGCGCTTCTCGTAGACGCTGCGCAGCTTCCGTTCATCGTCCACCTCGATGAGCTTCTGGCAGCCCGTGGCTGGGAATGAGATGTTGCGCTTCATGGTAGGGCCGCAACAACCCGGAGGGCCTGTGGAGAGAGAGTAGCACAAGTAAAGCGAGCGTGTTAGACAATGGGGGGGGGGGGGGTGGGAGGGAGGAGAGAGGGGGGTACAAGTAGTGCGTTAGACAATGGGGGGAGGGAGGGGGCAGAGACAGGGGGAGGGAGAGGGGGAGAGATGGGGGGGAGAGAGGGGGTAGAGATGGTGACGTCCTCCAAATGGACACCCTCCTCATGAATAATAATTAGTGGCTTACGTCACTCCACATGGCGGGGGGGGGGGCGAGGTTGCCTCCTCCCCCGTCGTCGGTGTCAACTGACAACCCTCACTACGAAGGCAGAACCCTCACGTCACGTGATCTCCGTAACGCTGTTGAGACATCAAAGTAAAAAGGACGTCATGATGAACAAGGGATTATAACCTTGAAATGAAATAGGTCTGTGTCACCGCAGCCTTACAAATTGCACACGCATTCATGCAATGAATATGACGTCGCGGTCGGTTTTTCTCTTACAAGTTTCAGATTTAATGAGGGGGGCTACATTATATTTGGTTCTTTCGGTAAAGTCACGTAGATAGAAAATAAAAAAATAATAATTACCGTACTTTGCTTCAACTATGAACACATTTCAATCGATATATCGACTGCACAAATATCTTCGCTGTCGATATCCACAGTATCCCCTTTTCAGTCTTTGCCTTAGGTTTCAAGTGGGGGGGGGGGGGGGGGGGGGGGCTTGACCATACTTCACTGCGCTGGGCATTGCGGGCTGGTGAAGGGTCGGCGATGCATCGGGGTTTGCTGCACTGACCTCTGCTGCCCACAACATTCCGGTCATGCGGAGGCCTCTCATCCAGCAGTGGATGAGCTACTAGGGCTGTGCACGTGGCAGGTTGTTGTGGTGGTGGGTGCTGTGCACG